CTGAGTGCTGGAATTAAAGACATTAGCCACCACCCCCATCTCCACCTGAGCTGGATCATATTTTTTCTTTTTTCTTTTTTTCTTTTTTTTTGGTTTTTCGAGACAGGGTTTCTCTGGAGGCTTTTGGAGGCTGTCCTGGAACTCGCTCAGTAGACCAGGCTGGTCTCGAACTCACAGAGATCCGCCTGCCTCTGCCTCCCGAGTGCTGGGATTAAAGGCGTGTGCCACCAACGCCCGGCCATATTTTTTCATTATTTATATGAATGGATATTTTGCCTGTATGTGTGTCTGTGTACCAGGTCTATGCCTGGTACCTGAGTAGAGCAGAAGAGGTGTTTGAATCCCCTGGAACTAGAGTCACATATGGTTGTGAGCTGCCATGTGGGTGCTGGAACCCAGGTCCTCTGGAAGAATGGCTAGTGTTCTTAACCTCTGAGTGCTCTCTTAGGCCTCCAATTTTTGTTGTTGTTGTTGTTGTTGTTGTGTAGAGAGAAGCCTTCCCACCAGCCTGGTTCCAGAGCCGCATCAGTCCCAAATAAACACACAGGAGGCTATATTAATTATGAAGCTGTTGGCCGTTTGCTTGGTTTCTTACTATCTCTGACTTAAGTATTTACTCCATAATTGTTCATCTAAGAATTTCTTACCAGAGAAAGGGTCCGGACTTCTTACCCCTATGGCGGCTACATCGTGGCTCCCTGTGTTTTTCCTTCCCAGAGTTGTCCTCAACTCCTAGTCCCATCTATCTTGCTTCCCTATTGGCCAGCAGTGCTTTATTTAACAACCAATAAGAGACAGATTTCAGAATGATATCTCCCATCATCTCTTTTCTGTCTAAAATAAGAAAAAGGTTTTAACTTCAACATAGTCAAATTATATATAACAGAACAGTTATCAAGTAAGAACATAGTTACAATATTTGTTCATTAACATTTAGTAAGATTTAAAGAAAATATCATCTATCATATCTTTATGAGTCTAAAGTCTTATATGTAGCTTATCTTTTATCATAACTAAGGAAAACTATGATGATAACTATCTGTCTTCAACTCCATCAAAGACCACAGAAGGATAATATATAAACACTAGAATTGACAGAGACATCTTGCTACCTGGACAGTCACCTGAAGTTCCTCTGTAACATTGGGGCATCCATCTTCAGCCCATAGGCCACAGTGTATCTGGAAGACTTCTCAGCAAAGCAGGAAATTTCAAACTATCCATCTGCATTGGCAGTCTGTCATTCATTTTTCTGTGTCCTGCAGAAAGTCTTGTAGACTCTTCCATGAATGAATCAGGAACCCTGAAGGATTGTTTGAGTTCAGCAGTCACTTTCCTGTGGGTCCTGCATGTCCAGTTTATACAGCAACAGTCAAGCAGTCTAGGCAAGAGCAGTTTCTTGCCCAAATGGCTAATCTTGCCATGTTGAAAGCAAACTCCATAACGAGTTTCTTCAATGCCATCTTCCTCTCAGACGTAATTGATGTGCCAGGAGCAGACATTTCTCATTGTCAAGAAAACCCTAAACCATTTTAAATGCCATTTTCTGAAGGTCTTTGAAAGGTTTGAAGACTATCTCAAATATATTTCTGTATATCTAGAAAACCTAACTTACCTAACTCTAAATTCTGACTAATATAAGTAACTATCTATAGTCTGTATTTAATTATGCTTTATGTTTTAAAAGATCATTACTTAATCAAGAGGAGAAATATACATATCACAAAATTGACCTTGAATTTGTATCAATAAATGAAAAACTATACCCATACCAAGTATTCATTTCCATACCATAATTCTCTTTTTAAACCATTAAAAAGAAATTGGTTGTGATCACTAACCAATTATAAGCAACCCCATTTAAATGAAAACAAAGATTTATAAACAATATGGGAATTGCTGCTATGGTCACCATGATTCTCTTTTCAGATGCATTATGTTTGCAATCTATCTGCTTTCTTCTATCTACCTACCTACCTCTATCTCTCCGTCAGTCTTGTCACCTAGAAAATCAACTCTGGGCTATTATCCCTCTCTGATTGTAACAGGTCCATCCTCATCTTGTCTTCATTCTTCCTTTTTGGCTTTTGCTACTGTTCCTTCTCTGTGAGCTGAGTGCTTGCCACAGTTGTTCTAATCCTCCAGCTTTTATTCTTTTTCAGACAGTCTCAAGTAACCCAGGCTGACCTAAAACTGACTATATAGCCAAGGCTGGCCCAGAATTCCTTTTTTACTATTTTATTTGTTATTTATTTTGTGCATAGGTATTTTGCCTGCATATATGTCAACATAGCATATGCATGCCTGGTGCCCTCAGAGGCCAGAAGAGGGCACCAGAGCCCCTGACTGGAGTTTTAGATGGTCAGGCGTTTCCATATGGGTGCTAGGAATCGAACTCCCATCTACTGGAAGAGCAGCCAGTGCTCTTAACTACTGAACCGTCTCTCCAGCCCCTGGTCTTGAATTCTTCATCCTCCTGGCTCTGCTTTTACTTGTCAAGTGCTGAGAATACAAGTGTGAACCACAATGCCTGACTTGGTTGTTTTTTTTGGAGAGGGAAGGGGCAGGGCTTTTTTGAGACCGTTTCTCTGTGTAGCCCTGGCTGTCCTGGTGCTTGATTTCTACACCAGACTCTCCTTGAATCCAGAGATCCGCCTGTATCTGCCTCCTCAGTGCTGGGATTAAAGGGGTGTGCCACCATACCTAGCTTGTTTTAAGTGATGGGGCAGGTCTCACTAGGTTGCCCAGGCTAGCCTTGAACTGAGATCGTGTCTCCTTCAGCTTCCTGAACTTCATTAATAGATATGCCACCATACTAGGTGTGGTGAATTGAATGTAATTGACTCCCATAAGCCTATGGGGAGTGGCACTATTAGGAGGCATGACTTTGTTGGAGTAGGTGTAGCTTTGTTAGAGAAAGTGTATCACTGTGGGGGTGGGCTTTGAGGTCTCATTTGCTAAAGCATCTCTTAGACCTGAATTTGGATCCCAGCAGCTCCACAGTAGAGGTCTAAGCCTCTTCTGGCCTCCTGGGATACCTTCACACTCATGCTATATAGTCAGATACACATACACATAAATAAGTAAATCTTGTTTTAAAAGGATTACAAAGGAAGGACAGAACCAGTCCCAACAAGTTGTCCTGTAACCTCCACATGAATGCCAGTGTCATATATACATAAGTATACAGAGAGAAAGGAGAGAGAGAATTGCTGGTATTGTGGTACACACTTAAGAGACTGAAACAGGAAAACTGCCTCAAGTCCCAGGCCAGCCTAGACTACAGAGTTGAACCATCTCAAAAAAATAAGGAGGGTAGCGGGACTGGAGAGATGGCCTGCTCTTCAGAGGACGTAAATTCAGTTCCCAATAACCATGTCAGGTGACTTGTCACCACCTGTTATTCTAACCTCAAGGGATCTGATATCTTCTGGTCTCCATGAACACCTGCACAAATGTGGTAAACACTCACACAGATACAGATAGACACGCACACGCACATGCAAGCACAGATTTTAAAAAGAAAATAAGCCGGGCGTTGGTGGCGCACGCCTTTAATCCCAGCACTCGGGAGGCAGAGGCAGGCGGATCTCTGTGAGTTCGAGGCCAGCCTGGTCTACAGAGCGAGTTCCAGGACAGCCTCCAAAGCCACAGAGAAACCCTGTCTCGAAAAACCAAAAAAATAAAAAATAAAAAAATAAAAAGAAAATAAAAAGCCAGGAGGTGGTGGCACATGCCTTTAATCCCAACACTTAGGAGGCAGAGGCAGGCAGAGAGACCAGCCTGGTCTACAGAGCAAGTTCCAGGACAGGCTCCAAAGCTACACAGAGAAACCCTATCTCAAAAAACCAAAATTAGTTTAAAATATAGAAAAAAATGATGATTTAAGGTAACTGATAGGGTAAATGCTGAATCTTTTCAACTGAAAAGACTAAAGTAAATGTACAGCCTAGAACAGCAGCAGCAAACAAGCCCCAAACAGGCTGCATGGTAGATAATTCACTACCAAAAAGACTTAGGGCCATGGGGAATAGTGGCAGTTCATGAAGCTGAGGCCAGGTGGCAGTTGTACTATGAAGCAAAGAGCATCACAGCAGGAGAGAGCAAGGACAGGTCCTCAAACACATCATCTGTGTACACGGCAGGGAAAAGAGGCCCCATGGGTACAATAGGCCAGGCAGGGATGGACAGCAACAGGTAGTAAGTAGGTACAGGCAGCAGGCAGGGCTGCATCAAGGCATCAGGTTGAAGGCAGCTCCTTATGGCCAATCTGGTATGCCTGAGCTGGCCCCTGGCTTTTCCAATAAGGTGCTGGACACCCAGTCATGTTTGAAAGGGGACTTCCACACTCCAGGGACTGCTGTGCCCAAAGACATGGGCTCTCCAGGAACACATTTTAACTATGCCTAGGATGCTACAGCAGGGAGGGGAATAGAGAATCTATAGAGCCCATCAGCTGGACACTACCACAAGCAAACTCACAACCATCCCTGCACCTGAGGGCAGCCAGAGTGATTGGTAGCTCGGCAGCAGCTTCTGTTGGCTAAAGACAGAACCCTCAACCCCATGACAGTACTTACAGTAGTGATTTTTTATTATTGCTGCTGTGGCTAAATACCTGGCAAGAAGCAACTTAATGGGAGGGAGGTTTGTTTGGCTTATGGTCTAGGGGTTGCAGCATCATGGCGGGAAGGCATGACAGCAGACGCAGCTCATGTCTGTGGAGGTGGAAGCTTGCTCACATCTGAGCAAATTAGAAAACAGAGAAAAGGGAGTGCCAGCAATCAGCTGGCTTTCTCCTTTCCCTATTTTATTTTCTTCAGGATCCCTGCCCATGAGGAGATGCCACCCACACTCAGGGTGGATCTTCCCTCCTCAGTTAAACCTTTCTGGAATGCCTTCACAGACACATGCTCCAAATGTGTCTCCTAAGTGATTCTAAATCCAGTCAAGTTGACACTGAAGATTAACCACCACACCACTCTGCCTGCCTTCTGCAGAGACCTGGGCACTTCTCTGGGCCACCTGCAGGTGCTGTGGCTGGCTCGCTGTGGCCTGACTGACTTGGATGGAATTGGCTCCTTCTTGGCACTGAAGGTGAGTCTGTAGCACTCAGGGACAAAGGAACAGAGATCAAGTCAGACCCCAACTGAGATTCTCCCTTGTGGTCCTCAGGAACTTTATGTCTCCTACAACAACATCTCAGACCTGAGCCCACTGTGCCTGCTGGAGCAGCTGGAGGTGCTGGACCTTGAGGGCAACGATGTGGAAGACCTGGGGCAGATGCGGTACCTGCAACTGTGCCCAAGGTTGGCCACGCTCACGCTGGAGGGGAATCTGGTGTGCTTGAAGCCAGACCCTGGTCCTTCCAACAAGGTGTGGGTGCTGAACACCCAGTCAGCATACATTTGGGAGGGACACCTCCACCCCACAATGGGAACCTCTGTGCCCACATGTACCTTCTCCATGAGAACTATCTCTTCTGTCACTAGAGGTCTAAACAGCCTAACTATTTGGATATATCAGGCATATACAAGGTCCTTTGTAGCAGGTAAATCCACATGTGCCCCACAAAGGCCATTGCATGCTCCAAGCGCAGTGTCCACTTCAATAGCTGCTGCTTAATGTAGACCCATAATCAGTTCCACCTGCTAGAGGACATCCCTGAACCTTGGCTATGGGCTTGGAGGGTGAGGGTACCCATAGGCTCCAGTAGGATGAGGCAGTATCACTACCCTATCTCCTCTGTCTTGCACCATAGCAGGAAACAGCTGGCCTGCAGGGTCCACCAGATCCAGGTCTACTGTCTCCTTCCCTCTACCCTTTAGGCACCCCAGGACTACAACTATAGGGCAGAGGTAAAGAAGCTTATCCCCCAGCTCCACATCCTAGATGAGGTTCCCACCACATGCACCAACCTGCCTGCTCCCCAGAAACTGAACCAGGACTGGCTGATGGTGAAGGAGGCCATCAAGGAAGGCAGCGTGCTTGACATTCTCCTCCCTCGGCTGGGTAGGCCAGACACTTACTATGGACCTCAATACTATGCCCCAACCCCTGACTCCAGAAGCGACCTCCTTCAGCCCTTGAGGAAGACAGGTCTCTACCAGTGTCCCAAGAAAAAAGACCTCTACTAGCTCCCCAGGCCTTGCAGAGATGGGTGATGACTGCATTTTGTTCCCTTTCCCAGAGCCCAGCCTTATCTCCTAGTTCCCAGAATCATGCAGATTGGCCCCCCAGTCAGGATACTCTCACTAGCAGCACTAGCTGGCTTCCCCTTTCCTATGTTGAGGGAGAGGAGGGTCTGAGGCTGAAGTCTTTTAGAAAGGGAAAGGAACCATCACAGGCCAGCCCCTAGGTCACACAGCTTCTTCGGTGACAGGCTGTGCTCTGTAGTCTGAGATTGAAACATGCTGGCTAGCATAAGCCTAGTGCTCTCTGGATCTGACCCTGGACAGATTGTTCCCATGGAACCACCATACAGAAACTTGACCCAACCTTGCCTGTGCCTAAGACACAACCATGGGCTCTGTCCTTGCTGGTTCCTGAGGGCCCCTTGCCTGAAGGTCTGCTTTCTGAGAACCCAGCCACAGAAGACCATGCCAGCAAGCTCACCCACGGTAACTAAACCTATGTGGCCCAGAGCTGACCCTACAGTACCTTGACCCCAAACCAGGCATAGCCACACCCTCTTCTTCAGGTGCTGGTCATGTTCTCTGTGGGAACCCCACCAAAGGCCTGCGGGAACGTAGATACCAGTACCAGGTATGCCCTCCCCACACTCCAAGTGGGCTATGACTACAGCCCTCCTTCCCAAAGTAGACCATCACCTATTGCCCTCGCTCCACAGTAAACCATTACCCAGAGTTCCTCCCCTGAATTGAACCACCACCCAGAGCTTCCCCCACCATCCACCAGTGTTTAGGACTACTGGCATGTTCATGTTCTGGCTCTCCCATTCCAGGGTCAAGGTCCCCATACCAGCCCTTTCCCTTCCTCAGGAATGGGCACCCCTGGAGAAGCTGCCCCCACATAGGCCAGATCTGGCCACCAGTCCCTCCACCCCAAGGCCTGATCCTGCAGAAAGCTGTGACCTGGATATGCCTGGGCTTTGGGCCTGGAGGGAGCCTGACCTGCGGTTGGTGTCCCTTTCCCTGCCAGCCCTACCACCTTCTGTGCTGTCTTTGTGGGGAGCATTGGGATGGAAGCTGTCTTGGCTGAGCAGTCATTGGTCCCCCAGGATGCCAAAGGAGCCACAGGCCAGTGACCCATCCAGACATGGTTGCAGCTCTGCCTTCTCCCACCTCGATCCCCTCCTCCACAGGCAGCTGGAGTTCCAGCACGAAAGGCTCGCTCAGGCTCCAGCTCAGAACCCACAGAAGGTTCCTGAAGAACAGGAAGACCAGACTGGACCCAAGACTTCCCTAACTCCCCCACGCCTGGCCTCAGGTAATACCTCGGTGCCTGAGAGCAACCTGACCCCCACTTGGGTATGGATGTCCCCATCTCAGAGCAGCATAATATAGTTCAGCCCCTTCACTTGCCAGGCTCTGGGAGAGGCTGCATGAAGCAGTCCGCTTCTTCGTGGAGTAGGGGTGGGTATGTTTCGTAACCTAGGGAGTGTCAATCCTAGCTCCTCCTCCATACCATGACACCTCAAGAGCACCTGGGCTATATGAGACAGGGGAGCATTCCACAAAAGGATATAGGGCAAGTCCTGAGGCAAGTACCAGTTGGGAGCCTCATGGTGGCTAAGGGTATCCAGAAGGAGACACCAGTTCTCAAGAGAAACTGGTAGGAATCTAGGGGTGGGAAAGTGGCCAACAAAACCACCAGACTAAGGCAGAGAGGGTTAGGAACATTCAGTGGCTTTAACCCAGGCAGGACTGACCTGTGCTGGCTTAGGAATGCAGAATTAAGTCAGGCAGAACCCTTTCCAAGGGAGCTAGAGTGACTGCTGCTTCATTGGAAAGACCGTTACCCAGCAATGCCTTAAAAAGGCACACTATGGGCATAGACAAAAGGTAAAAGGTTGTCAACAACCATCTCTGAAGGATCACACAACCACACTTTGCCCCTCGTAGATTGGGTGGTGTTTGGGGCATCGGGCAGGTAGAGGGCCCTGAGAGTAAAGCAGGATCAACAGCTGGTCCCCCAGTGGAAGAACTGCCCAGGCTAAAGGACAGTGGAAAGGTGACCAGAAGAAGGGTCGACTGAAATGGTGTCTAGCCCTCTTGCAGCAGATGTCAGGCCTAGAAGGCACTGGATGACCCTATCCACCACCTCACACTAAAACAGAAGTTTTAGAGCCACCAGGCCCTCAGGGATGCACACACACGAGGATGGAGCTCACATGACCCAGAGCAGTGGCTCTCAACCTTCCCAATGCTGTGACCCTGAAATACAGTTCCCCATGTGGGGTGACCCCAAACATAACATTATTTTCCTTGCTACTTCATAACTGTAATTTTGCTACTGTTATGAATCATAATGTAAACAACTGATATGCAGGATATCTGATAATGCGACCCCTGTGGGGATGGTGAACCCTCAGGTTGAGAACCACTGCTCTTGATAGCCACAGGGCTGAAGCCATATTTTCCCTTGAAAGCAGATGACGCAGAGCAAAGGGATGTGGCCCAGTGGGGCAGTAGTGCTTCCATCTGTGGGTTCCACCAAGGACACCGCAGCCCTCTCTACCTGTGACTGTACTGCCCCAGCCTACCCCATCTCCAGGCTGCAACTAACACTCCCGCATGTTGTCTGCCAGGTCCTCTCTGACACGCTGTTTTCTTCCTTGTTTTCCAGAACTTTCCAGGACATCAGGCTTTCACCTGATCCCTTCTCCCCCAAAGTACCCAATGCCACCTGAGTCAGGCAGCGGCTCCTCAGGGAGATCTGCAGATCTGCCCTTCAGAGGGCGCAGGCTTAGAGTCCTGGGTAGCTTGGGGCCTAGCCTGGGTGAGGGGTCTGGCCTGGGTGAGAGATTGGCTGCAGTGACTGCCCTGAGAGCCCTGGAGGTATCCTCAGGTCCCAGCCATCGAGTTCATGGATGTCCAGACCCAAAGCCAGCACTAGGTCCAGCAGCTTGCCCTCCAGGCCTCCACTGCCTCCATCACCTGAACCCTATCCCTCCAGCCCACTCACTCCCTTAGTGTAACCCTCCCTCGTTGAGATCTCTTGGCCTGGATGGGGCCAAGGCTTAAGTGACTAGAGCTGGAGCTGCGCTCTGCCCCAGGACTCTGGGTCACCTATGTGGCCCAAGTTCTAAGCCTGCTTATCGTAGGCCTTAAAAGGGCATAGCCATCCTGGGTGGCTTTGCAGGTTTCCCTGTGTGTGGTAGTTCCTTTCTCTTGGACACCATATACCCTCTGTAAAAGCCAAGTGAATCAATTTCGACTCTCAGGTATGCAGAAATGTGCTTTACTTTGTAAGCAACGGTTGGTTCAATAAATTATGCAGCTGGCACTGCCTGCCTGACCTGGCTGCCTTACAACCGCCGGCACAATTCCTCAGTGATGGGAGGGTAGCAGAGGAAGCGGAAGCCATATCTGCTCTCGGCTGTGCTCTGTACTGACAGGGCCACCATGGGGCAACTCAGGTCCACACTTTTCCGGCACACCTGCAGAAATCACTGGAGCCTAAGAGCTGCATGGACTGGCAGACCAGAGAAACTGGGGTGATAGCATCACACTCACCTGGACCTTGCGCTCCTGCCTGCCCTGGGTGTCCTCGAGACACACTCTCGAGGCACATTCTGGGATTGCAGGCAGGAGCTCCGATGTCTCAGTCTTCACGCCTTCCTGCTGTGCAGGAACTTCCACAGGATGAAGAAGTTTGTGGTTGCTCAGAAGTGGCAAGATATTCCGGGTCTCAGTGTGGTGAAGAGATCCTGAATTCCTCAGTCTGCTAGTGCCTTGCTGGTGAACACCTGACCTGGAGATGTGGGAGGGGCCTGAGGAGTATCCTAGTCAATTCGGGGCAAAGGTTGGGGGAATGCAAGATAGTATGGCCAGGGTAATAGTCCTGTCCATGGTGACACTTAGGGAAATAGGCGGCAGGCTTTGCAAGGCAGAACGAGGGGCTCACACCTACCCTGGCTTCTTGCGCCTGGCCCTAGCAGCCTGCACCCTGGCCTTGTGTGGGGATGAAGGACGATGCCGCTCTTCACCACAGTCAGCATTGGGCTTGGACTCTGAGAGTGGGAAGCGGTCAATGGACCAGTCAGTGTTATCAGTGAAGATTTTCGAGCCCAGGCTCACACAGGGTGCAGCTTGATGCTCACTGAGGACCTGCAGGGCCATCAGGGCATGTCACTTACTCTAATCCAGTGAGGCAGGTCCCTCTCTCCTTGGCTGGGATCAGCACTGACCTGGCCATGGGGGTTGACTAGCACTGTCACACAACCTCGGCTGGACTGGAAGTGGAAGGTGTCCTGGCCCGAGGACACTGGCAGCTGCTTCTTGGTCCTGCTGATTCCTTCACCCCATACCTAGGAGAAGACTGGGTGCTGAGTGAGGAACAGTGTAGGCCAGGGCAGGGCAATGTGGGCTGGCAGGCAGCAGGGCTCACGGTGATATGGTGCTGTGGTGCTAGCAGAGTACCAGGTGGGAAGCGGTACATGCACACAGGGAAGTCCCTCACAAGCTGCTGCAGAACAAAGCCGCCCAGGTCCACAGTCTCTGCCTGAGACTGGTTGAGGATACGGATAAACTTCTCTCGGTGGCTAACCGCAGCGATCTTCAAGCAGCAGCCAAGTGGGCTGGAGCCAGAAAGGCATACTGAGTAGAGAAGAGGGAGGGGCCCCATCCACCCAGAAAGCCCATCCATCATGCAGCCCTCCCTGCTTTTTCTGGTGTGCTCATGGCTGGGCAGCCCTCACTTCAACTGGGGCCTTGCATATTGATGCTGAAGGTCTGCAAAGGGCTCCAGAACAGTCTTGCTAATCGAGGGTGAGCGGCTTTTATGGAGATCTGGAAAAAGAAGTCCTTTAGGAGAGGGAAAACACAATAAAGAGTCCAATGGGGAAGTTCCCCAGGAGGCCAAACCAGGAGTCTGAATAATAGGGAAACAGCACCAGGGTTCAGATCCTGGTCAGAAGCAGTTGAACCCTGGGGGCTGAAGAACCTGAGTAGGACTTGGGGTGAGGTGAGAAGTTGCTAAAGGGCAAAAGGGAGATGCACCAACTCCACCTTCCATGTGTCCGCTGGAGCTCCTAGTGCATTCCTGCACCTGCTCAGAAGTTAAGTCTGTTCCCTGGGGTGGGTGGCCTGTCACCTTCTTTGCTCCAGAATGCTGAACTATCTGGCAGCTGCTGGAGTCAGAGTCTGCACCCTCTGAGCTGCTGTTGTCTACCAAAGGCAAGGCGCTCCACTCCAGATTTTTACTAGGCTTCTCCACATGCTTGAGGATGTACTCCGTGTCCCGGGTATCCATTTCGGAAGACTGGTGGGGCTGGGCCATCCTGGGACCATGATATGTTCACTGGCTGCTTTGGCTTCTAAACCCAGGACCCATGCATGCTCCCCACTCCAGTCAGCCTCCCCAAGGCAATGGACACCCTGGTTTGTGTTCCAGGAACTTTCGAGTCAGAAGCAGCTCATGTTAAATTAATGGAGTTAATAATGATGACCTTGGAGCTCCTCCCCTAGTCTTGAACCCATTCCACATATGACATATCAGAGCTGAGGCTTCGGGTTCCATGACTTGTCTGGGGACACTTAAGGATACAATGGGAACTGATCCACTTATGTCAGGCTAAGTCCTCCCTTCCCCTGACCCCTGGGGATTCCCTATGCAATGCAGTTACTTTTGATCTGAGTGAAAACTCATGCTGGAGAAGAGGTTGGGATATCGGTGGGCAATGCTGTTCCAGTCTACATCCTCCAACCGGAAACCCTGGCAGGAAATAAAAGGTATGTGGCTCTCCCACCTGGCAGAGCTTCAGAGGCCTTATCATACACATGGAATGCCTCCTGTGGCAAGCCTTGCTCACCTCCCCAGTATTGGGAACATCAGCATACTCAGAAGAGTCAGTAGGGTCCCTTAGAACCTCTGCAGTGACCATCTGCAAGAAGGAACCATAGAAGCTGGGCAGTGGTGGCACATGCCTTCAGTCCCAGCACTTGGGAGGCAGAGGCAGGCAGATCTCTGTGAGATTGAGGCCAGCCTGGTCTATAAAACTAAACAGAGAAACCCTGCGGAGGAGGAGGAGGAGGAGGAGGAGGAGGAGGAGGAGGAGGAGGAGGAGGAGGAGGAGGAGGAGGAGGAGGAGGAGGAGGAGGAGGAGGAGGAGGAGGAGGAGGAGGAGGAGGAGGAGGAGGAGGAGGAGGAGGAGGAGGAGGAGGAGGAGGAGGAGGAGGAGGAAAAAGAAAAAGAAGAAAAAGAAGAAGAAGAAAAAGAAGAAAAAGAAGAAAAGAAGAGGAAGAAAAGACTGGCTGGCAGGGAGCTTGAGGGAGGACACCCTTCCCCCACAGGGCCTCTCACTTTTTTTTGTTTTGTTTTTTGAGACAGAGTTTCTCTGTGGCTTTGGAGCCTGTCCTGCAATTTACTGTGTAGACCAGGCTGGCCTTGAACTTACAGAGATCCTCCTGCCTCTGCTTCCCAAGTGCTGGAATCAAAGGCATGAGGGAATCAAGGGCATGAGCCACCACCGCCTGGCAGGGCCCTCTGCCTTTTGACCTTAACAGCACTTTGTGTGTACTAGATGAGAAAGATGCTGGTCTTATGATGCCTCCTTGTGGAAACATCCCGAGGGAGGCAAGGTTTCTCAAGCAGGCCAGGATCCCTCAAGGAGCATGCTGGCTGCCCAAGAGTGGGGGCGGGGTGCTAGGCAGGTATTGAGCCAGGGGCACAAACTCACCTCCACACTGCCAGTCTGAGACCGAAGCATGCGTCCCACCCAAGAGGAACGGGCCAGCTGTAGAAGGCATGATTTCTGGAAGGTCTGCAGCTCGGCCTCCAGCTTCTGTATCGAACAGAGGTTCTGCCGCAGTTTCTCCTCCAAGCATTCTTTCTCCTGATCAAGAGTGCTTGCCAGTGAAAGAGGCCTCCAGCAGCCCAACCTTTCAGACTTGCCTTAGGTGGGGAGCTCCTGCCTGCCAGGCGTCGCCCTGCTCCCTGAACCCAGCCCTCACCAGTTGAGCTTGTTCCTTCTGTGCTTTCAGCTCCAGAGTAAGCTTCTGGACCTGGTTCTGCAGGAATTTGTCTTGACTTTTGGAGTTCCTGGTAGGAGAAGCAGTCTCAGAACTTCTGGGTCAGACCATGATTCCTGAGAGTAAGCCAGCAATAAAGGACACCCCATGGCCACCAAAGTCTGAAGGCACACACTATAGCAGGCAGGCCAGGGCAGAGTAAACCTTAGCAGGTCTGGGCAGAGGTCTGCATGCTCAGGGGTAGGGTTACATTTCCAGCACAGTAGCTTATTTAAAAGTATGGTGGAGTGTCAAGTCACTCAAAGACCAAAGTTAGAAGCAGTCAGGAAGAGGGCTCAGTGTTTGAGACTGGCGTCAGAAAGAAACTAGGAGCTACAGGAGGGTAGGACCTGGGCTGGGCTGGGGTTTTGCCACTGACCGCTCAGGGGGAATCCCTGCAACCTCTTGCAGGATGCGGTAGTATCGGGCATTCTGGCCATTCTGGACAGCCCACCGAAGTGCCTGGATCTCTAGTTCTCTCTGTTCCCATAAGAGCTTCAGGGTACGTGGGTCCAGAGTTTCAGGGGACAACCTGCAATTCCAATCCCTTGTGGTTTGACCAGGCCTGGCTCTTTGGCTGGCCCAACCCAGGAGGCTGCCCCATCCCCTGCCTCCTTACTGCTGCTTGACAGAGCAGCCCACTGGTGTGGGTGCACAGCAGGGCTTACTGCTCTGGGAACACGAAGGATCTACTGTGTCCAGAGGCGTGCCACCTGGGGACTCTAAGTCACTGCTGTCTGGCTTTACACCTGCTGGAGCTGGGGACACCTGCTCATCTTCAGACTCCTGGCAAGACTTAGGGGCCATGCTCGATGTTGGTCAGGAGCTGGGAAGGAAAGCGGTAGAATGCAGTCTGCCCTGTGTCCCAGGTGTGGGACCCTCGTGGGGCAATCTCTGTGTGCCAGTTCTCCCTGAGGAGGCCTACACGCGTCTACCCAACAAGACATAGGACCGCTGGCTCATATGAGTGTATATTTCAGCCTAGGACAGCGGGTCATCTCCCAGGAAGCATGTCCCTAGTATGTATATATATATATCCATCCCCTGCTGTCTCCTCTTTGTCCCCCATGACCTGAGCCTAGAGCTAAGATCAAAAGTACTAAACTTTTGCCTGTTAACTCTTATTCACGTCCCTCCAACCCAGGAACTCACCCCCACACTCACCTGAGGCCTAAACCCACAGAAGGTCTAGGAAGGGAAGTGTTCTGTACTGTTGCCATGGATTTCTGCACCTGGGGGGGGGAGGGTATCAGTTACCTGGAGCTTCCAGGGAGAGGAAGCCCAGGACCATGAGTACACTCTGTGCTAGTGTGGTTTGGATATGTAAGCTAGGTTACTACCTGCCCAGCTAAGCTGAGGAGATCCAGGGAACTATACAGACCCCTGGAGCCTATCCCTAGCCAGCAGTGATAGGCAGGTACTGGGGAATGGTGTCCTGCGAGTGAATTCAGTATGTATGTGTGTCTGGAGTATGTAAAAAGTCCTAGGGATCTGAGTTGATTAATGGAGCAGGTGAGTTTGGTGATAAAGACTGGAGTGGCCGTACTAACTCTAGCCAATAAATGAGCCTGTGTCTGACAGCCACCTGCCTAACCCTTGGAAGCCTATCTTCCTGAGCCTATCCCCATACCTCTGGGCTCTCTCCGATGGAGGTTCCACTAGGGAACCCTGGGGGACATTGCTTCTCCTTCAGAACACGTGAGGCCCAGGAGAGGTTCTTTCTCCCTTGTCTCGTCCACAGCCACAAGGGCATGGGAACCAGCTCCCACTGCTCTCTGTGATTGGGATAGACCACAAGGGGCTGGACCGGCTTCATTTAGCCCACCGAGACACAGGGAAGACGTTAGAGCAGGGGCCCACTTCAGGGAGAGAAGGGCTGCTCGGGAGGGCACTGGGTCCATTGGGGGAGGGGAGAGTAAGGAGCTTCAAACAAAGACCCCAGGGTCTTTGTCTCAGGCAGGCCTCAGGGACGGTCCCTTCCCCCACCAGGGTTGCAGCGCCCACCAGGTCAGCCGGCCCCTAAACTCCACCTCCGTCGGATTTCGGGGCGGGAGACACTCAAGGCCTCTCTTCCCGGTGTTCTCGGCTACAGACTGCTAAGGGAGCAGGACTGAAGAGGCCTAGCCTACGGGGCTGATGAAGGGGAGGGCGAATGTGGCGCCCGGGAACAAGTCAGAGTAGAAAGGTTCTAGTCAGGAGCCCTTTCGGTGGGCGGAGACCAGTCCAGTCGCACTGTAAGTCTGTTGAGGAAGTCCGTTCTGCAGCTGGGAACACACCTCACTGGGCCAAGCAGCCCAGCGCGAACGCAGCTGCAGACGCGCTTCCGTGTTGATCAGCAGCAGCGAGCATCGCAGGCGCCCGGGTCCTGCCCCTACCCACTCAGGGCCCCGCCTACACCTGGATGCCTCCGGGGCGGGACGGATTAATGAGCCAATGGGGCGTGGTGGGAGGAAGGCCGCCAATGGCAGTGGGCATGGGGCGGGAGGCACGCGCCTCCGATCTAATGGAGTGCCGTGGGGCGGGGCGTGCGGGCCGCGAGCCAATGAGGCCGTGAGGTTGGGCGCGCCGCGGCGCTGGGACAGCAGGTTGAGGCGGCGCTGAAGCGCCTAAGTCCGGGAGGCCAGCGGGCGCCCAGGTGAGCTGTGCCGGCTTCTCTAGCCTCCTGAGCACTGGGCGCGGCACCAGGGAGCCGTCTCCGACCCAGGAGAAGCTAATCTGGGCGAAGGGACGCGCGGTGGCTGTGCTGCACCTGCGTCTGTCGGCTGCGGAGTGGGACGTCTGGATCCCGCGCGGCCGGGATCAGCCGTGAGGCGGGCTGTGCCCCCAGCGGGGTGGGACCACCGGAGCCCAGAGCGCTGGCTAGACGGGAGGGACTTCGGAGGCGGACCGGGAGCTGGCGGGGGCTGCTCAGATCTGGGGTGGGTGGGAGATGGAGGTCTGTCTGGGTCTTAACTCTCAGCTCCTCCCGGCCCAAGAGGTTCCTTCCCTGGGGTGGGGGGGGCGGCGTTCCCATGACTGTGGACGGCGTCGTATTTGCGTATGGTTAGGTGCCTGGGGACGGCTGCCCGCGTGAAAAGGTTAGTGGCCTTAGAGCCAGGTGACCGGGGGACAGGAAAACCTGGACCTGGTTAATGATTCGCCCTGTTCCTGGAGTGGGGTGGGTGGGGCAAGAGGAGGCTGGTGCAGGAGGGGACGCCTCAAAATGCTCAAGAGGGCCAAACTAGTTCCCCAGCCACTCCAGGAATGTGTGGCCCGTGGGTGGGGCTGGGCACAGGAGGGCAGGGCTGAAGGGCCACAGTCCTGAGCCAGTCGTTGTGGCCAAGCCAAGAGAAGAGGAAGGCCGGGCTATGATGGAGGCAGGCCTGGCCTGATCTTATGGCCTGTGTCCTCCCAACAGGACAGGGATGGTCGTGGAGCTTGTGGTCATGGAACTGAAGGTGTGGGTAGATGGCATCCAGCGGGTGGTCTGTGGGGTCTCAGAACAGACCACCTGCCAAGAAGTGGTCATCGCACTAGCCCAAGCTATAGGTGAGTTCTCTAGGGACAGAGAGGCTAACCGGTGAGGCTGTAGTCCGGCCCCATCTTCCCTCCCAAGGGGGGTGAGGCTGACTCCACCCTTTCACTGCTCTAGTCCTCCAGCCAAGTGGATGGGGGGGGTACAGGCTGACCCTGTCTTTCCCCCCACAGGCCAGACAGGCCGATTTGTCCTTGTGCAGCGTCTTAGGGAGAAGGAACGGCAGCTGCTGCCACAGGAGTGTCCAGTGGGAGCCCAAGCCACCTGTGGACAATTTGCTAGCGATGTCCAATTTTTCCTGAGGCGGACGGGGCCCAGCCTGTCTGGAAGGCCCTCCTCAGACAACTGTCCACCCCCGGAACGATGCCCCGTTCGGGCCAGCCTCCCCCCAAAGCCATGGGCAGCACCAGGCCGTGAGCCACACAAAGCACTGACCGTCAACCCAAGATGTCCCAAACTGGTCCCCAGCTCCTCCATCCCTGAGCCTACAGCCCTGGTAGGACCCATACCAGACTGCTTTGCAGACCTGCAGAGCCTAGAACTCAGGATACAGAGGAATGCTGAGGAGCTGGGCCATGAGGCCTTCTGGGAGCAGGAGCTGCGACGAGAACAAGCCAGGGAGCGTGAGGGACAGGCACGCCTGCAAGCACTGAGCGCAGCTACTGCTGAGCATGCTGCCCGGCTGGAGGCCCTCGATGCCCAAGCCTGTGCCCTGGAGGCAGAGCTGCGGCTGGCCGCTGAGGCCCCGGGCCCCCCTTCAGCTACAGCATCTGCTGCTGAGCGCCTACGCCAGGACCTGGCCATCCAGGAGCGGCACAGTATGGAGATGCAAGGCACCTTGGCCCTGGTGAGCCGGGCTCTGGAAGCTGCTGAGCATGCTCTGCAGGTGAGCCCAGGAGATGTCGGCCTGTCATCTCCCTGCCTGCTGTACAGCCAGTCTGTCAGCACTCTACCTGCGGCACGGCGCTTTGGGGGTTCGATATAGAGTCAGACCAGGGAGCATACTGTCTGTGGGAAAGAAGGCCATGGCCTTGCCCCTGAAGGACCTGTGTGCCCCCAGGCTCAGGCTCAGGAGCTGGAGGAGCTGAACAGGGAACTCCGTCAGTGCAACCTGCAGCAGTTCATCCAGCAGACAGGTGCTGCTGTGCCGCCCCCGCCACAGCCGGACAGAACCATCCCGAGCCCACAGGTCAGAGTAGTTCTGGGAAGAGGGGATGGTTAGGCGGGGGCTACTCTAGTTCAAACTGACCTGTTTTCCCCACAGGACCTTCCAACCAGAGATGAGCCCCTCCAGGGAGTCCCCCAGAGCCATATCCTAGTGTCCAGCCTGAGTCCGGAGGGTATGTTTCTCTCCCTACCCCTATCCCCAATCCATGGGAAGGGCCGGGGCTCTGGTTTCAGCCCATTCAGCCTGTGTCTTTCTCACAGTTCTCCCCATGAGGCAGAGCTCCTGGAGGTAGCAGTTCCTGCTCAAGTAGGGGACACTGAGTAGATGAGCCAGCACAGCTGGGATGAGCCACCTGGACAATGGGAGAGTATGATCACAGAATTCTTTCCCTAAAGTGGGGAAAGCTATGATGTCCTGGGGTTTCTGCTTCAGGGGGCGGGAATGCTAGGGGACATGTTGTCCTAATCTTTTTCAAGTCTTCCCAAGTCCCCTGAAAGAAGCAATGGACACAGTTCAGAACTTACCAGGCTCCAAAGGCCACTACTTACTAGAGGAGAGAGATGTGTGGACAGTACATTCATCCTTTGGGGGGGTGTGTGCCTGCTGTTGACTCCGCTGAATATGTGCTGCCTTCTTGCCCTGACAAACCTCAATAAACTACCTTTCGAAGGTGCTTAAGTATGTTCTGAAGTTGTACCACTGGGCAGTGTCTGTTGTTCAGAACTTGAGGTCCACATGGCAGCTACTGCTGGGTTCCTGAGACAGTGGTGTTTTTAGAGGCCAGTACTCAGTAGGATCCAAAGCTGGGGTGACATTCCCCGGGGTATTTATTTGTAACCAACCCCTAGCCTGGTGAGGCCTGTAAGCCTGGCCTGAGTTTTTTTCTGGACCCTTCTTCCCTGGCTTTCCTTGTTTGGCCTGTGTGCCACCAGTAGCAGGAACTGAGGATGCCAGGACAAGCTAGACCCGCCAGTCAGGTTTGCTGAGAACTTGTGGGGGCGAGTCCTGGACTCCCAGGTCAAGTCTGTGACTTCTGGGTTGGCCAGGCCCAGGGAGTTTTCCCTAGAAATCTTTGCCAGCCCCAAGGTAAATATGGGCATTGAACGGTAGGGGCTGTCCCTCTCTCCCATAGAGTGGGTGTGAAGCCTGTTTATGAGCCTCCAGCTTTGACATTGGGGCAGGGAGGCTTCCACAGCCCAGCCCAACTACTACTCTGGCTCTTGAACAGATAGTGACTGCTTCTGGTTATGCTGGCAGGCCACATGTTCTGAGCTCCTGGGACTGGAAATCTTTGTGAGGATCAGAACTATGGGTAGAATTGGGAGATTATGAGGGTCTTTTGGTTGTTTTTGAGACAGGGTTTCTCTGTGTAATCGCCCTGGCTGTTCTGGAACTCACTTTGAAGGTAGACCAGACTGGCCTCAAACTGACAGAAATCTTCCTGCCTCTGCCTTCCGGGTGCTGGGGTTAAAAGTGTGTCACCAGCCGGGCGTTGGTGGCGCACGCCTTTAATCCCAGCACTCGGGAGGCAGAGGCAGGCGGATCTCTGTGAGTTCGAGACCAACCTGGACTACCAAGCTAGTTCCAGGACAGCCTCCAAAGCCACAGAGAAACCCTGTCTTGAAAAACCAAAAAAAAAAAAAGTGTGTCACCATCACCTGGCAGATGATGAGAGTCTTTTTTTTTTTTTTTTTTGGTTTTTCAAGACAGGGTTTCTCTGTGACTTTGGAGGCTGTCCTGGAACTAGCTCTTATAGACCAGACTGGTCTCGAACTCACAGAGATCCGCCTGCCTCTGCCTCCCGAGTGCTGGGATTAAAGGCGTGCGCCACCAACACCCGGCTGATGAGAGTCTTTACACCATATTGAAGAGGACATTTGGAATGGGCTCAGCTTTCTTTCCCACTGGCTCCTGAGCTAGGTTTAGTGCTCCCTATTTTTTCTGAGGCAGACTGAAAGAGGACATGGAAATCCTGTGCTGGAAGAACAAGGAAGACCTTTTTTTTTTTTTTTTTTTTTTTTGGTTTTTCAAGACAGGGTTTTTTGTATATAGCATTGGCTGTCCTGTGACTCACTCTATAGACCAGGCTGACCTCAAATTCGGAAATCTGCCCACCTCTGCCTCCCAAGTGCTGGGATTAAAGTTGTACACCACTGCCCAACAGACCATATTGTTGCCTGAAGCAGGAAACAGGGGAGAGGAGAGGCTGGGCACCAGGCAGCAGAGGGAGGGAGGCTCCTGATTGGTGTCAGCAAGCCAGAACTTCCAGCAGACTATTCCTGTCTGCATTCCAGCCTGAGCCTGCTGCAGCCTAGACCCGCCTGACCTGTGGCCCCAGGTCACATAGAGTAGATCCTAGAATGCAAAAGCCACTAGGGCTGTGTCCTTGTTGGAAAGACAGGTCTGAGGGAACCTGCTCCCCACACTTAAAGCCCTACCCAAACTCAGAAGAGTTGAATAAACCTCTTGGCACTGGTCCTAAGCTTATCATGGTTCATCTCCCAGGCTAAGCGCACAGTCCCGTGGATGCAGTGCCCGGTTCCACCCAGAGACCACGGCACACAGGAAGCTAGGCAGGGGTAAGCTCCATCCTCTTCAATTGAGTCTTCCACATGTTCCCTGTGTCCTGAGGAGCGCCTGTTTCTCCTGAGGCCCCTGCCTAGGTCCAGTCTGCAGTATACTGTTGCTGGTGGCACTGAAGAAGCTACCAAGCCTCCTTCTTCAGGTGGCCACGATGCTTTAAAGGCTGGTAAGATCCTCTTCCCGGTGGCTGTCTCAAGTGGACAGACTCCCATACTCCAATGCTTTGAACCATCAGACAAAACTCTGGGTTAATGAAAAGTTTACTTTGGAACTTGCAACTTTACTTTGGAAACAATAGTGTGAGGTATGCTGAAGTGACATGGGTGATGTTAGGACCTTACCAGCTATCAGTGTGGGGTAGGCAGTCTCCTCTGGGCAATCCAACCAGAAGTCAGGGCCACACTGCTAGGCGGTCTCCGAGTCTCGGTGGCCTTGTTCATTTCCAGTACAGAAGTGGGAGAAGCCTAGTTCAGAGGCTCTGCCCTGAAAGCAGCTGTCCAGCAATGAGAGTCAGCCTTGCAGTTTCTCAACCCAGAGGCCACATAAACCTCCCCTCATCTGCACAACACTCTGAGTTTGACACCACTGTGGTGACAAAACAGGCCAGCATCAGTCTGGAAAGGTCTGGACTAAACCCCTCTATCTCCAGGGACCAGATCTGCTACAAATGTCCTAGCCCCTGTAGCCTATAGCTTCCCTAGATATCCTTTTCCACATTCAGATGGACTTGAGAACACCTAGCAGGAGTGTCCGTGGGAGAGGCTTGTCCCAGAGTCCACAAAGAGATATACATGGTACTGACTCCCTCATCACTGAAGAGGCAGAAACAGGCAGGATCACTCAGACTGCCGCTGTCTTCCTGAAGGAAGTTCCAGAGGTGGCCCTGGGGAAGTGGGTCCTGTAGGCATTGGTCCTGTTGGCTTAAGTTCACACCTGTGCCTGCCCAGAGATGCTTTGGATGCCTTCGACGGTGACTGTTCTCGGGACTGCACAGCCTTGAACCCTAATACACATAAAAAGAAAGTTTCCTCCAAGAGGTACCTGACCCAACCTCAGTCCCACAGTGAAGGACAGAGAATCCCCCAGTGTGCCCCCAGCCCAACCTATCTTAGCTGGTCTCCCACATGCAGGTCTGTCTGTAGGTGCAATCCTCTCCTGGTGGCCTGCTACCCTGTCTCTCCTCCCCACCCTGGGTCACTGAAGAGCCAGGGGTTTCGCGCTGCCCAGGGACAGATCAGCCGCTGTCACACGCACAGTGGGTCCGAAGCAACACAGTGTGCTGTGGGCAGTGGCTGTCCTGAGCCTGGAAGGACTGCTCTGGCTGGCGGGCAAGTGGAGGGGGTCGCCCTCTCCGTCCCCGCCCCCGTCCCCTCCAACTTGGACAACAGAGCCACTCGTCTCTCGTCCCGCCCAATTCCCATAGCCCCCTGAGATGGGCAGCCTCGAAGATGCTCCCACATCCGCTAACCTTGTAACCCTCCTGTTTCACCTGTGACCCCGGTGTGGGGCCATCGCCAGCTCTTGAATCAACTTCAGCGGCGGCGGTGGCCACTCTCACACCCAAGGCGGGCCCCAATCGGGCCCAGTTGCCCCGCCCCGTATGCAAACTATCTGTCCCGCAGCCAATGGCAGGTTGAGTAGGGCCCACCCTGCAGGACTGCAGCCAGTGAACACGAGGGGGAGGCAGCACGCCCCGCCCGCCGCCGCGCAACCCTTCGCGGGCGAGGCCGGCGCGTTCCTTTCTGCACGTCGGCTTGGGGAGGGGCCGCCACCTGCTGGGCGTGGCTTGCGGGACGGCCTCGCCGGACGGTGGCTGATCGTTGGTACAGTCCGAGACATGTCCCCTTCCCTCGAGCATTGGTACCGTCCGGGCTCACTGCATCCGGGCCTGGAGTTGGGACCTCCGCCTGATAGTAGAGTGCTTCGCCCGCCCAGCGCGAGGAGACAGCTGGACAAGACAGGACCTTTGAGGCGAAGAAGAAACTGCCCCGCCTCCCAGACTGATATTAGGGCGGACAGGCTATTCCCCGCCCAGTCTAAAGACCGCCCTTCTTGGGGAACTCTTAACACTCCAGGCGCACGTAGTCCTGGCAGTGGCCCAGGAGTGGCCTGGCTGGCCAGGGAAGGCACGTAAGCCCCTGCCTTTCTCCAGCGCCTGTGGATCCTCAAAGATATGTGGGTCCGTCTGACTGTGAGGAGGGGGCTGTTTGTCTGACTTGCCTTTGCCGCGATCTAAGCGACCAGCTCTGGAGGGAAGAGTCCCGCGGAGCGCTGTGCTCTCAGAGGGCTTGTCCCCATGCTTTGAAAAATAGGCGGGAGTGCCTGCTAGGGGAAATGTCACCTTCCTTAGGATAAGCAGCGCCAGTTATTGGACTCCTAGGAGAAGAACCAAAGGGATGGGATGGGGGGTGCAGCCCAAAGAGACTTACTTCCCTCCCTACACTCCTACTTCACCCAGGTTGCTCCTGCGGGGAATCATGAGGCATTTAAAATCTCTTAATCAGGCAGAGGCAGGCGGATCTTTGTGAGTTCGAGACCAGCCTGGACTACCAAGCGAGTTCCAGGACAGCTTCCAAAGCCACAGAGAAACCCTGTCTCGAAAAAAAAAAAAAAAAAAAAAGCTCTTAATCACTCAAGAAGATGCAGCAGCTGTTCTTTTGCTTGTGCGACAGAGATCCTTATTCTGCTTTCCTGTCTACTTCAACCAGTCTTCCACACAATCCTCAGGAATATCCTCCCAAGGGAACAGATTTTCCTTGCTCTAGGCAAATCCAAAGGGCCCCTTTGTCCATCACAGATACACTGATCCTTGGCTCAGGGGCCAGTATCCTCATCTTAGCGTCTTGTCCTTCAACCCTGTGTCCTGCTTGGGTCAGAAACCCACCCGAGGCATCTAAGTGCTGAGGCATTATCAGGGAGGTATCTGACCCAGCCCAGACCTCAAGGACTGGGTCAGGGGACAAATACAAATGTAGAATCTTGTGCATTGTGGCCGTCTAGGGATGCAGCACAGAGAAGCCAGTAGCTGACTCAGTTTCCACAGAGGATCAGAAATTGAAGGATCAAGCCAAATGTGGTGACACACCCCTGTTAGCCTGGTAGAGATTATTCCTCTGTAACCTTGATTAGAGGCAGAACCAGGAGGATATGATGACAGTTTCAAGTCAGCCTAAAAGAATTCCTAATAGTTACTGGGAATCCTGAGAAGGTTCCTGTCTTGAGAGCAAGACTTAGGTTCAGAGGACAAATGTCAGGGACCAGGGAGAAGCTTAGTTCCTTCCTGATTTTGCCAGGATGTTTCCCATCTGAAATGTATTCCTTATCATCCTGTGTGGTTGGTGTATGGTACCATCCAAAATATCTGCCTAAATCCTATTATTTATGGCCTATAATTGTGACTTTGAAAAAGAAGTATGTGTGGTGTCTTTGTAGTTTTTAAGAGATTTTCCCTTTATTTTTTTAGACAGGGTCTCATTGTACCTGGCTGGCCTGGAACTCACCATGTAGACTAGTTGTCCTCAAACTCACAGAGATCCACTTGCCTTTGACTCCCAACTGTTAGAATTGTGAGTACCAGTGGCTGGAGAGAAGGCTCAGTGGTTGAGAACACTTATTCCTCCAGAGGACCTGGGTTTAATTCCAGCACTCACACAGTGGCTCAGAATTCTCTGTAACTCCAAGACTAGGAGATGCAATAATCTCTTCTGGCTTCTGTGGTACATGCATGTGGTAAGCAAACTTGAAGGCAAAACACATACACATACACACAAAGTATACTCCAGCATGCTAGGCCAAGAATGGATTTTTGAGATCATTATGAGTTAACTGGGATGCCCTAAATCCAATGACAGTGTCCTTATAAATGACAATAGAGAGAACACAGACACAAAGGAAAAGTCCAGGAGGAAGTGTAGCGATGCCACAGACAAGGTAAGCCTGGTGCCCCCAAATGAGAAAGGCAGTAAAAGCCTCCCCATACCTATATAGGAAGCAAGACCCTGGCCTTGCTTGAACTCTGACATGTGGTGCCCAGAACTAAGAAAGAATAAATCCTGTTTCTTTTGGCCACCCAATTTATAGTCAAACAACACAACAACTGCCTTGCTTGGTCTGAGGAAGCAACTTCTTGTCTCTTCATCAATTCTGGAAGTTTTTGTTTTTTTGTTTTTTGTTTTTTGTTTTTTTTTTGGTTTTTCGAGACAGGGTTTCTTTGTGGCTTTGGAGGCTGTCCTGGAACTCACTTGGTAGTCCAGGCTGGCCTCGAACTCACAGAGATCCGCCTGCCTCTGCCTCCCGAGTGCTGGGATTAAAGGCGTGCGCCACCAACGCCCGGCCAATTCTGGAAGTTTTAAATTCCTTGTTCTTACCCAAATCACATTCACTATTGCCCTTGCTTCAACTTCCTTTGGGAATCCCTTGACTGACTATCATTCTTGTTACTAGGGATCAGGTAGGCAGAAGGCAGTACCTAGGCTCAGTGTTCACCCAGATCTGTGTTGCTTGGTATTCAGATGACAAGGGAAAGGACTACCCTTTGAGAGAGGTTGATTTGGACTGGATAGAACAGTGGTAGAACACAGCGTGGGTACATCCTTCTATGTACCCAAGAACATGCATGCCTTTTTTTGTTTTCTGTTTTTAGAGACAGGGTTTCTCTGTATGGTTTTGGAAGCTGTCCTGTGTTGGGGAAGTCCTGTGTATATGTCAATAAAGCACTGTTGGCCAATAGGGAAGCAAGATAGGTGGGACTAGGCATCCAGGAGGACTCTGGGTAGGAGAAACACAGGGAGTCACGATGTAGCCTGCCAGAGAAGTAAGATGTCAGGAACTATTCTCCGGTAAGAGAAATACTTAGATTAACAATTATGGGATAAATACTTAAGTCAGAGCTAGCCAGTAAGAAACAAGCAAGGCCAACAGCTTCATAATTAATACAGTGTCTTGTGTGTTTTTTGGGGGACAACGTGGCAGAGCCCAGGCAACTGGTGGGGAAAAAACCTAAAGCGGCAGACAAGAAAAAGGCTCCACTCTACAGTCCTAGAACTTGCTCTGTAGACCAGGCTGGCCTCGAACTCACAGAGATCCACCTGCCTCTGCCTCCCAGTGCTGGGATTAAAGGCATGTACCACCAATGCCTGGTTCCATTTCTTTTTTTTTTTAAGATTTATTTATTATATATACATTGTTCATCTGCATGCATATTTCAGGTCAGAAGAGGACACCAGATCTCATTATAGATGGTTGTCAGCCATCATGTGGTTGGTGGGAATTGAACTCAGGACCTCTGGAAGAACAGCCAGTGCTCTTAACCTCTGAGGCAACTCTCCAGCCCCCATGCATTCCGTTTCCTTTTTTTTTAATTAATTTTATTATTTTTATTTATTTATTTATTTGTTTTTCGAGACAGGGTTTCTCTGTGGCTTTAGAGGCTGTCCTGGAACTCCCTTGGTAGTCCAGGCTGGTCTCGAACTCACAGAGTTCTGCCTGCCTCTGCCTCCCGAGTGCTGGGATTAAAGGTGTGCACCACCAACGCCCGGCTTAATTTTTTTATTTTTTAAGTTTAAATTTAGATTAGAAACATGGTTGGTTCACAAGTCAGTTCCAGGTCCCTCTCCCTTTCCCTCTCCTCCTCCTGTGCCTTCCCCCCCAACTCCCCCATTATCCCCTCATTTCCCCAGAGAGGGTGAGGCCCTCCATGGGGGTGTCCATAGTCTGTCATTTCATCTAGGGCAGGGCCTAGACCCTCCCCACAAGAGTTCAGGGTAAGAGTTCCATCTCACATTGTTGGATGGAAGTCTAAAGTCCATGTGTATACTCGGGATGAATACTGATCTACTGCCCAAGGCTCAATAGATTACCTAGGCCTCCTCACTGACACCCACATTCAGGGGGTCTTGATCAGTCTCATGTTGGATTCCCAGGCATCAGCCTGGGATTCAAGAGTTTACCCTTGTCAGGTCAGCTGTTTCTGGGGTTAAACCAGCCCAGTCTTAACTCCTTTAGTCATCAGTCCTCCCTCTCTGTCACTGGCTTTCTTGAGTTCAGCTCAGTACTTAGCCATGGGAGTCTGCCTCTTCTTCCATCAGCCACTGAATGAAGTTTCTGTTTCCCAGACCCTCTGGTCATGGGATTGTAGGCTGGCACTCCCCAGATCTATGTCTAAAACCCATATATGAGAGAGTACTTGCCATGTTTCTCTTTTTGTGACTGTGTTACCTCACTCAGGATGGTTTCTTCTAGTGTCATCCATTTGCCTGCAAATCTCAGGATTCCATTGTTTTTTTCTGCTGAATAGTACTCCATTGTGTAAATGTACCACATTTTCTCTATCCACTCTTCGGTTGAGGGGCATGTAGGTTGCTTCCAAGTTCTGGCTATTACAAATAATGCTGTGAACATAGTGGAACAGACATCCTTGTATGAATGGGCATCTTTTGGATATATGCCTAAGAGTGGAGTTGCTGGGTCTTGTGGTAGGTTTATTCCCATTTTTCTGAGGAATCTCCATACTGATTTCCAAAGTGGCTGAACCAGTTGGCACTCCTACCAATATATCTGTCTATTCATGCATGAGATAGGAGCAGTGTGTGCCAGCATACATTAGGAATCCAGCAGGCTGGGCATCGGTGGCGCACACCTTTAATCCCAGCACTCAGAAGGCAGAGGCACACGGATCTCTGTGAGTT